CGAGCTGCAAATTTTGTCCCCGATAAATTTGAAGAAGAGGCGGGGAAGGTTGTAATAGAATTGCTCCAGAGGGGAGCTGTAGCATCAGATTCAATGGAATATGCTGAAATGAAAGCTCTTCAAATTGCTGCTTCGCGACTTCATATTACATCCTCGAAAGCCATCTTGATAGAGAAAAGATCTATTAGGAAGTTGCTGGAAAAAGTTAAAGACACTGACCAACAAAAGGGAAAGATCTTAAAATATCTTTTGTATTTGTTGAGGAAGTATGCTAACTTGATTATTGGAGAGCAAACAGACAACACAACTGATCAGAATGAAGGATCATTTGCAGTTAACAACGCATTTACTAATTTTGTGCATACTCACTCTGTTGATGTGGAATCTCATAGGGAGTATAAGCAGTATGAAGCTCAAGCTGATAGGTTAAGTAGGATTATACCTCCTGAGGAATATCAGTGCCCCATTTCTTCAAGATTGATGTATGATCCTGTTGTCATTGCTTCTGGACAAACATTTGAAAGGATTTGGATCCAGAAGTGGTTTGATGATGGTAACAATACATGCCCAAAAACTAAAAAGATACTGTCCAATCTATCATTGACCCCAAATGCTGTCATGAAGGATCTGATATCAAAATGGTGCATGAAGTATGGAATTACTATTCAGGACCCAAGTATGCAATCACATGTACTTCAATCATTGGAAACTTCTTCCACTTCCATAGCTAGTTTTGGCAGTTCTATGAATGATCTGCGCTTTCCAGTGGACTTCAGCAATATATCACTTGGATCATTGGATACTAGTTATACTTCAGATGCATCACGTAACAAGATTTTAGATGGCTTAAATTTGATACCAGAGCAGGCAATTGATGATCTTTGCCAATATCAATCTCCCACTGGTACAAGTAAGATGGATTTGGAGTCTCTATCTAACCTTGCTGAGCTTGATTGGGAATCCCAATACAATATGGTTGAAGAAATGAAAAATCATTTGAGATGTGATGACCTAGCTTGTCTGTCTATGTCATCCAAGAATTTCATTGAACCTGTGACTAAATTTGTGAGCTGTGCTTGTGATTTACATGATATAAGAGCACAGAGAGCTGGATTTCAGTTGTTATTGACATTTCTGAGGAAAAACAGGTAATATGTTCTTGAATGTGCAATAGTTTATGATGTCAGATGTCATTAGTTTGGGATGATATTTTTATTGCTTTTGTTCCTTCCAAATTGTGCTTACTAGTTCAATGTGCTAGTTGTTTCCTCCTTATTTTGGTGTTCTCTAATTTCGTTGTCAGTACTTTTCCCTTCAAGACTTAAAAAACTCTTGATTATTCTGATGCTCGCACCAAGACTTTATTTTAGTTACAAGTAAGCTTAGATTGATGAATTTTTTATATTTGCTAAATATTTGAGTATTTGATATTGATAGTTGAGAATTTGGTTGAGAATTTTGAAAATTTTTTGAGTGTTTTTAGTTTTGGATTACTTGTCCGACATCACTTGTGATGTCTATCACAGAACTTGATGTCTTTTGATCGTTTAAAGCTTGTTTTGTTTGTCCATTATCCTGTACTTGATCTTATTTATGATCATGTATCTTTTTAAACAGAGGGACTTATCTGTGACATTCTATTGCTTTCTGATGCTTCTTGCAGGAGTGGCACACGATACTTAAATGAAAATGTGTATAGTCTGTTATCATTGTTTATCAACTCAGAAGTAACTAAAGAGGTTCTTGACATTATGGAAGTGTTGTCTGGCCATGACAGTTGTAGATCTAAGATTGCTGCAGCTGGTGCTCTTGCTTCCTTTTTAATTATTCTTGACTCAAAGATCACAGATTTCCAGGAACAAGTCATTAAAATTTTGCGCAATCTGTCCTCGAGCAGCGATGTTTGTTCCTATTTGGTGTCTTTGGAGTGCATCCCAAAATTTGTTCCATTCTTACAAGACACTACTCTTGCAAGGCACTGTTTAGTGATGTTGAGAAATTTGTGCAGTAACCAAGAGGCTAGGATTTCTATTACTCAAACTACCGGATGCATTAATTCTATTGCTACATTACTTGAGACTGGCAGTTATGAGGACCAAGAGCACGCCCTGGCTATTCTCCTTGTATTGTGCTCACAACGTGTTGAATATTGTCACTTAGTGATGGATGAGTGTGATATATTCCCTTCCCTTTTTGATGTATCTGTTAATGGCAGTGAAAGAGGAAAGGCAAGCGCACTCGAATTGCTGCGGCTTCTTAGAGATACCAACTCTAATGATGATGAACAAGAATGCTTTCAATCCGACAATGTCACATCCGACGATGCTTACCAAGAAAAGAAGTCTCACAAGAAATTGTTTGGAGTGAAATTTCCAATATTCTCAAAATCCAGTGCACCGAAAAAGAAGAAATGAAACTGGGATTTTCTGCTCTTTATTGATATTGGAGTTAACAAATATTCTGCCTGGGAGGGGATTCGCTTCCTGGGATGTGGCAGCTATATCATCATACTGTAACTAAAATGTAGTTAGTTTGTGAATGATTTTGTCTAGTTTCCTAATTTCCATGATCTAGTTTCCTAGATTTGATTATTTATGATGTAACTGCTGTCATTTTCTGGTTGTATAATTTTTAAGAATGTACAGTTTTTAGCAAAAGTTGAAGCTTTCTCCTTGTACCTTCTTCCCGTAATCTTTGGCAGTTTTGTATGTTATTGGACCTTACATAGAACCAACACAAAACTAGTGATCTATAGGAAGAGAGACCAAATAGTACCTGTTTGCCTTTCTTACGTTTTGATGTGTAAGGTTAGATATCTGTTTATCCTAGGAACTTAATCATTGTGCTGTAACATTCTTCATGTTCTCTTACCTTTCAATCCTTTCACATCACATCCCCATTTTCCTGAAGAAACATGAGCAAAATTCTTCTATTTGTCGTGCTGATTATTATATGTTGTCAATTTAATTGAAAGATCACAAACAGAACAGTATTGCCTATGAGGTGTGTGAGCTTTGCAGGTATTTATCAGGACAACTGAGGTAAACATCACTGCCTCCTACATACTCTTTTCATGGAAAATGCAAGAACAAAAACATTTAGGGTGGGGGGGAAGGAGGTGGTTAAGACTTCTATTACATATTGCAATGTGTCTGCAAATCATTTTCTTCAAAGGCTTTGTTCTTACAACTTCTCTATAGAGGAGATGACAAGTTCATATCCAATGCTTTCCTCTCTTTAAAGTTTATCATAATTGATGGACCCTTCCCCAATTTGGGTCCACTGAGCTAAAATCAGTTGCAATCATGGATCTGAAATTTGGAGAAGTAGAATTAAAAGAATTTGATGGGCAAGTGTCGATCGTTGGTAGGTTTAATTCAATGAGGTGGCAGGGGACAGTAGACAATGGTGGGGTTTTGGGACTGAAAATTAATCTGATCAGCATGACTTCGTGAGGAGCCTTCCCGGCCAAAACTTGTGGGGAGACATACCCATATGAAGTTGGTGAAGGTCCTCCCAACAGACCCCCTACCCATGGTCTCCTATCCTACCATCACTAATCCTGATACCCATTATTCCAAGCTATTTACATCTAACTATAGCTGGGCCCTAACTTGTACAATCTATATCTTTCCCCATCATTGTTAATGTGACATTGTCCCTCATTTTCCATTTTACCCCATCATTGGTAACCAACTGCTACTGCACCATTTAAGTTCATGTGAAAAATAAAAATAACAGCCCATGCTTCCACCAAAACCCTCTGGAAAACACTAATGAAACCATCTTCTATGAAGTGTAAGAGCAAAATGGATTACAAGAAAGAAACCAAACCAAGTATGGTCCAAATATAACCTAAATGGTGCTCACATCTCTGGGTTATTTTTTTCTTCTTTTTTCTAAGTGACTACTATAAAAATAAATACTACTTGTGACTAAAAAGTTGGAACTCTTCAGCACTCTTCATTTTTGGTTCCTTCTGAATAATTTAAAGTATACATGCATGAAGAAGCTTGCTGTCACCTAGGTCTTGTGATGTGAGTATCTTAAAAAGAAAAGCAGTTGGTTGGTGGGATTTGTTTTTATGCTGCCCTAATTTGGCACACATTGTCGGTGGGTCACTTATATAAATCCATTCGATATATCCATGCAAATATTCTTTGCCTGGAAAACAGAGATCCTTCTGTTAAACAGCCCCCTACCTCCTATCCTCTATGAGCTTCAATCCATATAAAACTCATATATACCTGTAAAAGTGCATCTATTTAACAAATTTGTCCCTGAATCAGTCACAGGATATTGCAGGGTATCCTTGGCTGGTTGCTTTGTAATTTTAAGAAACATTTAGTTGCTTGCTACCCTTTATCCAGATTCCAAACTTTCCTTGGTTGTGTGAAACTTGAAATGGACAGTTACCGGTGACACTGAGGTCTGGCTTGTTTATGTCTCTTTCCCATTTTTCCTTGTTTTAAAGGAGGCAGTAGAGGACGAGACAAAAGCTTACACATCCAATTATGGTGATGCAGGGCACTTGAAACTTAAAGTTAAATATCAAAGTATGCTATCAGTAGCAACGGGATTCCTTCTTGAAAATATTTTAACTTTCTGATTTCAATTTATTATTGGGAATTTGTTATTAACGAGCCGGAGTAGCTCAGTCGGTTAGAGCGTATGGCTGTTAACCATAAGGTCGGAGGTTCGACCCCTTCCTCTAGCGATTTTGTAGATTTTGTTTTATTTGTTGGATTTTTTTTTATTTGTTGGATTTTGGGCTCTTTATTGGCTGGATTTTTTTTATTTGTCGGATTTTGGGTTGTTTTTATTGGCTTGTAACTCCTACAGAAGGTTCATCAAACAACTTGATTTGATTGTTTGTTTAGAGTAAAAGACTTTTTGACGTTGAAAACTCACCAAAAACTAAAGTTTTAATCTGCATGTGAACCCTCTAAGTATCACCATTCGTTTGAATCACCTCCACCAAACCTTGAAAATATTAAACTCAACCAGAACCGGAACCCGAACCCCGTTTTGCAGCTTCTCCGTTTCTCTGTTAAACGAACATTCTCACATGGCGGTTATGTCACTGGGTCCCATTGCCCACGGCTCTCGTTAATGGCTTACATTCTCTTCTGATTCTTTGCCTTTCCTCTATCCAAATCCTTTTCTTTATATATATCTCTCTTGCCAAATTCATCTTTACTAAGTCAGGTCTCTCCCGTTCTTTTCTCTTCTTTCACATTAGTAACATCTAGTTTCCCTGGAAAAAAGGTCTTAAATAGTCTAGAGAACAAAGAAAAATCCCATTTCTCCTCCTTAGAGATTGACCAGAGATGTCACATGGTTTGCACTCCCTGGAAACCTGTACCTATAACGGGATGGATATGACAGTGCTTGAAAGACAGCAGGCAAGGTTGAAATGGCAGCAGCTGCAAAACTATGGGGTCCAAAATAATAATCCTACTGAATTATGTGCAAGTTCAGTGCCTCAAATTCAGGGTTTTCTCGGAAGCAGTTTAGGTAGTGGACAGTTAGTTGAGATGAAAAAGCCAGAAGTTTACCTGGGTAGTGATGATTTTCCCAAATTTGTGAACTTTTCAGTAGCTGGACCAGAGTTTAGTGCCAGTAAGATGGATTTGGTGCCGCCAGAGGATGCTGCAGATTACTGTATCTCTGGGACTTCTAGTTGTCAGATGACAGCTTTCCAGACAGCTGTTATGAACGAGGAAAGAGAGGACGTGATTTTGAAGAAAATGGAGTCCACCACCGGCAGAGAGAGCTTTAGCAAGAGAAAAGCTGAGGTTCGTTACTATGTCTTCACTCTAAATTTATTCACTTTTTGGGTTGTAGCTTCTTAGAAGAATGAATTATGAATTTTTGAATAAATCATTGAGGCAAAGGTTTTTCTTTGATAAAAGAAAGAAACCAGGTATGAATCGTGATAAAGCTGTTATTTTTAATTGGGTTTAGTTGCCTCCAACACAAAGGGAATAAGAATAAAGCCTGGTGAACTACTATATCAAAGCAATTACAGTCGTCATTAAGGCATCTGACTTTTATTGTACAGGCTGTTCAAGACGATAAATGCAAAGATAAGAGGGTTAAAGGAGAAGTGGAAGGGGAATCTGAGGTCAAAACAAAATGCAGTACAGAAGTTTCCAGAAACTCTTCAAAGGAGAACTCCAAGGCTTCCGAGGTCCAGAAGCCAGATTACATTCATGTAAGAGCACGTCGTGGCCAGGCTACTGACAGTCACAGCTTGGCAGAAAGAGTAAGTAGGAATTTTTTTGGTTTTTGAATTTTGAGGTTTATTTGCTAAGGAAAATAGATAGTACAACCACTGGCCTGAATCTTAAGAAATATTGGTTTTGTTTATTTGTTTGTCTGTGATTGCAGGCTAGGAGGGAAAAGATTAGTAAGAAGATGAAATGCTTGCAAGATTTAGTCCCTGGGTGCAACAAAATCACAGGCAAAGCTGGAATGCTTGATGAAATAATCAACTATGTTCAATCTCTCCAAAGACAGGTTGAGGTACGATAGACATGTCGATCTTGTTAGCCTTGATTATTTTAGCACATCACCTTTCTGTTAACTTATCAGGTTGCAATGTAATTTACTTGCAGTTCTTGTCTATGAAACTTGCTGCTGTAAATCCAAGTGTAGAATTCAATGTTGACAACCTCCCTGCAAAAGAGGTAAGAAAACAGCCTCCTGATTTGTCCTTTCTCACTGATCATTGGAGGAAATGGATAACCACAAGCGACTTCTTCTATGACTGACTTGTGCTTAAATAATTATGCAATGAAGTTTCCTGCTTATGTCGCCAATTTTCCAGCAGCCGCCAAGTCACCAGCAATGGCCAATTTGGCCTGCCTTCAGTTCAATCCCTTGCAAAAAGCTGTAAGTTGCATGTTAGATGCAACAATGCACCCTCCTCAAACAGCAACTGAAGGAATTGCGAGTGCTTCTGTATCTATCCCAGAACAAGCTCTCAGCTCATCCTGCATCACTGTAATTATTCCTACTCTATGGTTTCAACCATTCTTATTCCCTGCTTTGATTTATGACGTTCTGTTATGCCTAACATGCCTCAAAATCATATTGCAGCAACTGCAACCATTTTCAACTTGGAACACGGACCCTCGAGGTCTTTACAATGTGTACAATATGGGGTTTCATTAAAGAATGATCAACTAATTTTTGTCTCCCATCTCGACAGGTAACTCTAGCAACCTCTCTCTCTCTCTTCTTCTTCCTCTCTCCAAGTCCTCTATGTACTTAAACTTTCTAATATGAAATGAAAATGAAAAATCCCTTCTCCTTCATTAGTCGTTAAACTTACAGGATATTACATTGGTTTCTGTTTGTCCATTCTCCCACCTAGCAGAAACATCAGCCTTTGCAGTTCCCTGCCTTCCCTGCTAAGATTTGTTGTTTACTTGTTTTCTGCAGATACCATTCCTGGAATCCAATCAGGCTCAAGATGGAATGCAATTTTAGATGCTACTATTCACCCTCTTACAGGATTTACTTCAAAGATTATGGTAGTTACCATTCCTGAAATCTTAGCAGTGTCAAGTTGGAGATGTTATTTTTCTTGGACACTATTCACCATTTCACAGGTTTTATTACTATGATTTCACAGATTACTCGATGAAACACATTCTTGTTCTACATGTATAGTCCCACTATTCCAATAAATATCATCCATATGATTAATCATCAAGATTTCCATATTTCCACTGTATAATGACTGGAGATATCTCTCTTGTCTGTATGTTTTCCCTCTATGAATGAATGTAGAGATGTCTTTCTAGCCACTGGTAGTGAGGAGAGGAAGTGGACAGGACCACACTAGACCACCATAAAAAGCTGATAGGAATAGAAAATGACAGAGGAAGCATTCGGTTGGAAAACTTTAAATCATTGTGGGGGCAAGGAAGATGATAGAGGTGAAATGAAAAGTGTAGGAGCCAGTGACAGGATGGCCCTGATGCCGCCCAACTTGTGCCTTCATTGGATGAGCTTTGGCAGCTTGCAAAAAACTTTCCTTTGCAGAACAAAAAAACATGGGCAGTTCAATCAGATAAAGATATAAAACACTTGGGATTACGCTTGAAATTCTTCATTATTACGGAGGCCGTAAGCTGTTTTCTCATTCTTTCTCCAGAAACCTGGTGGATCTACCTTCCCAGTATCAATTCAAGTCTATGTTGTTTTTGGCACTTCTCTTCCTAATTTCGACTTTTCTCCTATAATATCTCTGTTTTCTCTTTTTTTCAATTAGCATTATATGAATATATTTTTTAATTAATATCCCGTAAATAAGTTCTATTCTAATTAAGGTAATTGAGAGTATTTTAATAATTTTATTAAATAAAATTAACAATTTAACTTTTTGTATGAACATAAATTATCAAAAAAATATTAATAAAAAAATCCACAAAATGTTAATTAAAATAAAAAAAATTATAACGTATCATGTGAATTTCCAAAAAAAAAAAATTCAACCATGAAATAAATAGTCAAACAATAATCTCGAAGTTTTCTTTGTCTTTTAATAATTATATCTTAGTGTTTAACCTATATCCTAATGGCACCACAAAAATCATCAAAAGGCAATTATTCCATCAAAGAATTTAACTTTAATTATAGATTTGATAAAACAATGTTTTATGTTTTGTAATAAAAATTTGAGAATCTTTTCATTCTAATAACTAAACTAAACCTCTTTATTTATTTGCCATTATTATTTTTTAATGTGGGTGGTAACACAAAATTCCAACCTTACTAAACTAAAATCACATTCTTAAAAGTCATAATTAAAATTGATATCGGATTCGAAATTAATGGGTTAATGAATCTTATTTTTGGATCATCCATATAAATTGGAGACATACTAGCATTTAATTTTAATAAATACTTTAGTTAAAATTGTAGTTAATATTTTTTATACTTTAATATTTCTTAATTAAACTTTTTGTATAGATATCATTGTAAATTAATTTACTCATTAAATAACAGCAAATTTAACCAAACTTTTCTTTTTTCTTTTTGGAATTATTAACTAAACTTTTCTTGATTAAGATCTTAATTAGGGGAGAGAGAAAAAATCTTAATTAAGGAGGGTTTTAGTCACTTTTAAATGGCCGTTTGCATTTGGGAGGGAATTGGGGGATTTTGGTTTTTTGAATAGTTCAAATTAGGGTTTGCATTTTCAAAGAATGGCTACGGAATCTTCAGAGTCAGAAGAAGAAGGGAAGATTACAGGAGGAAATCAGCACCTAATCGTCGAAGATGACCTGAGAGAAATGGGAAAAAAAGCAGCTTGGAGTGTCAGCTCGTGTAAAACTGGCAATGGCGTCTCTTCTCTCCGTGACGACAATCTTGAAACCTATTGGCAGTTAAACACAGACTCTTTTAAATTTTTACTCCAATTTTAATCTCAATTCTCACTTCTTTTCATTTCTTTTTGACTGGTTTTTTAGATCTGATGGAGCCCAGCCTCATTTAGTTAACATTCAGTTCCAGAAGAAGGTTAAGTTGCAAGTATGTGAAATTTTTCATTTGGTTGATTTTTTGTTACAAAGTTCTCATTTTGCTAATTTTTGATGATGGGTTTGTGACGATGTGTGGGCTTTTTTTTTCTTTTGTTGGGTTTTTGAAGCTTGTTGTACTTTATGTGGATTTCAAGCTTGATGAGAGCTACACACCAAGTAAGATCTGCATTCGAGCCGGTGATGGCTTTCATAATTTGAAGGTATAATCTGTAATCTTCAGTTTTTCATTTAGAATTGTGGCCTCTGACCGGGTTGGTTAATTGTATGTGAATGTTTTCTATAGGAGATTAAAACTGTGGAACTTGTCAAGCCAACTGGTTGGGTTTATCTTTCATTATCCGGAAATGATCCTCGGTGAGTGACCAAACAATTGTTTCAGTGCCACTATATTTGCTATTGCTTTCTGAAGTATTTGGAATATTGGAGTGATCATGTTTCTCTCGTTGGCTGTTGGTGCAATGTTGTTAATTTGATCACTGACTGTTTGTTCTTTATTAGCAGATTAAGAGACTAATTCATTTCTTTACAAAAATGTTTGGGTTCCTTTTTGCTACATAATGCTCTAGGTCCCTAGTAATTATACCAATTATTTCCTCTTTAGGTTGATTGATAATAATATGCAACCTCAAATGTAATGATCAACAAATTCCTATTCAATGTACTGACTACCATTTGTGTTTGGTTTGTGTTGCGTGACATCAAAGACACGTTACAAAACTAAATCAAACAGAGATGTATCAGAATTTCGTATTCTTGCTTCGTAAGATTCATTGGCAATGTTAATAGTTACTGCTAGATTGCTATACAGCTGTTAGTGAATATCAACAGTTTGTAAGTGGAGCGCAGAAGTGCATACACTATCTAATTATTGAGGAAAATTGCACTCAGCATAGGGAGATTTATTTTGGGTACTGACAATGTTTAATCAAAATGTTTTGCAGCGAAACTTTTGTCAATACATTTATGCTGCAAATTGCAGTTTTGTCAAATCACCTTAATGGGAGGGATACTCATGTGCGCCAGATCAAAGTTTATGGGCCTCAACTGTGCGTATCATAGATCCCTACATCTTTTAGTGAATGGGTTATTCAATCACCATTATTCTAATTTGAACTTTTTTGTTGTTTAAATGTTCTATTGCAGGAATCCTATTCCACACCAACCATTCCAATTTACCTCGAGGGAATTCATTACATACTCCACTGTGAGATAATAAATGTGACCTAATAGCTGGCTTGGGGTTGAAAAGGACATGGAATATCAAATGTGGAATCGTGTCTCAGATTGAAGAGAACTAAGAATGTCACTGAAAGCAACCATATATTTTTTTAGAACTCAGAGGAGCTTCTCATAACAATTTAAATCTATAACATGATGATGGTTTTGTATCAATCAACATTTATAGGAAGAAAAAGAGTTGATGTCGTCTGTATTCACTCCCTTATGCTCGTGCTGAGCAGATGGTTTAAACTAGCTTGGATAGTATCCCATTTTAGGTTCTTTTTTGGATCTTTTCTTTTTTCTAATTCCTTTGCTCATTGTGACATTCTATTATTTGAGGAAAGGCGACAGATATTCGGATAAGTCACTCTGCAACTAATTATGTTGTCCTTGTTCCTGTATCATACCTCGTAGGTCATTGCACCTCCGAGTAAAAGGAAAGAATTTGCCACAGGTTTCTTCTGGTCAGGTTGCTTTGAAACCTTATTATCATTTGAAATATTGGAGTTGTGGTATAGATTCCAAGTTACTGGAAACACCGGGACAATAGCTGTTCTATCAATTTTAAAGAATGAGACATCAAGGACATTTTTTAAAAGGTATTCTCTGACTTGTGATTCAAATCATGTAGTGTCTAGCTTTCGAATATGATTCATTGCCCAAGTTCAATCCTTGCATATGTTATGGTAGGTCGTTTTTGACAAGGTCTCTGCTCCAGGTATTGCTTTAGTAGGCCAGCTGATTGTACACCATCAAGGTGGATCTTCGCGTCATACGTCTACTATTGTTACCGCGAATCATCTTACTAGTTGGAGGAGGCCTTCGTTCTTTTTCCGTTCGGGTCTGGCGTCTGCTGGGAAGATACTTTTAAAGGTAGGGGAAATAATTGCAAGTAACATCACTTGATCAGGGAAAAGCTAGCATCAAACCCCCTCAAGCTTGGTGCTTACCCATTTGCCACTAGTAATGAGAGCCGAAGTTTGACCACGACAGATGCTAAAGCGGCCTAGTTGGTACGAACAGAAGTTTGTCACGTAAAGAGGTGCCAAGCATAATTTTTTTCTGCACGAAAGATGAATACTTTTATTCTTTTTATACTATCCCTTTTCCCGTATCATGCAGAGACTTCACCTTTCCCTTTCATAACTCAATGCTTCCATTTGAAGTAACTAGAAAGAATTTCATTTTGCAGCAGCAATTAAGGGAAAGTGATCCACCGTGTAGCATTCGGCATGAGTACCTGAACCTTAAAAGAGAAACAGGAGTGCTTGCTTGTTTGTCAGTGGAACTCAGGCTTAAGTGTTACATTGAGCCCTTTGTTAGTGGATATATTTGAGTTTACTCCAAGTGTGCATGCTTGCTGTTAATTTAGATACAACTAGATATAAGCAATTTGCTGTTAATTTAGATACAACTAGATATAAGCAATTTGCTGTTAATAAGAAAATAATACAACTAGATATAGCCAATTTGCTGTTAATTTAGCTTTGATTCCAAGATGATCAAACAACATACAAGTCAGAATGCATGATCAGAAAAGCCAGGCGCCCAACAGCTAAGAATCAGCCATCAAAGGCCATGCAGAAAAAGCTTCCATTTAGAACATAAATACCAGTACTAAACTACAGGAAGCGTTCGAGAGGTGAAACATGTGCATCTCCTACCAACATGCTATCATTCAGAGGCCAATTTGGGCTAAAGCTGCTGTGGTAGATTGCAAAGGCTTGAAAGTAAGGAAAGGTAATAACAATCCATAGCAACATTAATGATGTGGATCTTCAACCAGTGGTGATCATTCACAAGCTGGTTTGGTGTCAAAGCTGCTTAGGCAGATTGCGAAGGCTTGGAAAGCAGATAGAGGGTATCGATAATCCATTGTGAAGATGTCTTTGCCAATTTTTCCAAACTGTAAGATTACCTTCTCTTGTTCTTCAGGTGATACATTATGTGAGGGCTCAACAGCTGCGACAAGCTGGAAATTCTTAACAGAGGCCACCGTCACACGGCCCTTGAAGTTCAGGCACCAGCACTGTAACTGTTCATGCCATCTTGGGGCCTTGTTTTTAAGGGTTAATGGCTCTCCTGAGCCCAGGGAGAATACTGGTGTGGCTGGGAGGCTTGGGGAGCTGGCACCAATCACTGGTTCCTTTCCTTTTGAACTGGTTAAGGGAGAAAGTTGCTCATCAAAGGATTGTGGGAATGCTGATGGTGTTGGGGCAGTGCCTCCTTCCTGAATAGCAGAGATAGGAATGGAGTGCACAATGCAATGCATTCTCCTTGGTCCTCGTGTTCGCAGAACATTGAGCTCATAGGTAATGGTACCTATGCTGTAGTTGCAAGCAGGTAATCTTGGAGACACCTGCTTAGAGTGGAATCTACGACTTGATCGGGTAGTTGATGGGATTATTGAGTCACATGGAGGCTGACTATCATATATGGTGAACTTGGTACCCAAAAAATTAGACCTGAAAAGAATTTTCAACATGTCATCATAAGATATGAAGAGAAAACAATCAGACAAACATAAGAAACAAATCTAATGGTGAGACTTGCCTTAGTTTACCAACATATGTATTGCTGGCCCTGGAAAAATCATCTGCAACCAAGGATATAACAAAGTCTGTGCATGTTGCCCTTCTGACCTTTCTTGCTGCCAACAGCAATTTATCACTTTCTCCCTCAGCTGTTAATCAAAGAAGCAACACAAGTAAATACCTCCCAAAAAAAGTGAGGAAGCTTCATAATAGTGATACCTCCATTGAGGTTTTTAAGTTTTGAATATATTATTTGGATAAAAGGATGTAAAAGAAGCAACATAACTACAAAGCCAAGTAACCCCAATGATCTCACAAAGTTGCTTCCAAAAAGAATGGTACACTGTTTCCCAATTTTCCAATCAAAACCGATAGAGACTGTCTTCTTATTAGGTCATTCGAAGAAACCAAACAATAGAACAAGTATACAGCCACACTTACTTTTGACTCCCTAGCACAAAATCTTTATGAATCCAATTAAAAGGAAAAAAAAATGATTGGAGCAAATTGTTTTCAGATAAGAATGACAAGTATAAAGGTAGATACATAAGTTTAAATTTATCATAAATAATAGTAGCCAAGAACGTTAGAATAAGATGACTTACAAGGCACCAGACCATAGAACAAAGAATATGTTGAAGTTGCTCTGTCCCTTTTAATATAGCATTGAATCGGGGACTCCCGAGGACCCGGCTGTTCATGAGCAGAAACAGAAGATATAAACAAACTGTTTAAAATGGAAGAATAAGAAAATAGCCACTCCAATTATTCAAGGAAACAAACATGAAAGTTGTTGACTATGTAGCAGATATATATTCAACTATCAGCCAGAGTCATTTCATGGTAGAAAGGCCACAGAATAGATATATTTCTATGCAAGTTTTTCCTCCCCTTAACGTAAATTTAGCTAAAACCTAAATATGCAGTATCTTATTCTCAAGGGATCAAAAAGGGTTGTTTTTTCTTTTACAACAGCGAAAGAGTATAACCTGCTTCAATGAGATGGGAAATGTGAGCCTTCCACATTGCTCGGGAGTCTTCACAATCTCCTTAGTGATTTCCCTCCAAGACCTACAAACTGCAGCACAAAAGACAACAACAGCTCGAGCAGGCCAAGCTGTCTCACTCTCTTCGACCCTCTGAATTATGTCCAAGAGCAATTCAGGTGGTAGATTCGCCCACGGGCTCTGTTCTTCGAGTTCAGATCCCGTTGGTGCTTGATCAGGAGCAACATGGGATCTAATCCGGCTACGCCAAACCTTACTTTCCCCTCCTCTCCTTGATATGTTCCCAATCCCATCTTTCATTTCCTTTAGCTCCCGCATAATACTCTTTAGTGACATCTTTTATAAGCAAACCAAATCCAATCTCTCAACATTCACCTGCAATAATATAACATACACGTTAGAGAAAAACACCTCAAATAATAAACTTTTTCTCCACTATTCAAATCTCAGCTCAACTACAAGCAACTTTCCATCACATCAAACTCCACAAATCCAAACTTTAATCATAATTAACACCCAGAAAACCAAAAAGAAAGAAAACCCAAAGATCAACAACCAATAAATGACATAAAAAACTGCAAAAAAGAAGATCGATCTCTTCTTACCTGAATCATCAACCCAAAAGAGCTATAGACTTGAGAAGAGAAAAAATAAAAATGTGGAAACCAGCTCTAAGCCAACAGGTTCAAATCAACCCAGAACCGAACCAGCTCAGATGCATCCCCACATTTCTTAGGGTCCCACAGGTCAATCAACACCACAACCAAAAAAACTCAGATCGGAATGAAACTAAATATAGAAAAAATTTTAAAGGTGCCAACTTTTCTTTTAGTAGGAATCTGAAGATGGCAACGTCATTGCTAACGCGGGTGCCACCACCACCACCACCACCACCATCAACCCCGGTGTAATACCACCCCCACCCCCGCCACCGTCATCGCCATCACCACCAGTTTTCTCCCCAGATCAGTGAGCCAAAACGCGCTCTCTTTCTCTGTCTCTCTATATCTCTCTTCTGCTCCTAAGAAAAAGCTCTTTCACTTAAAACGGATCCAAAGTGTGTTTTTAATTTTTTTTTTTTGGGTTTTAGAATTACGTAATATAATAAAAAAAAGATATAAAAAGCAATTTGTTGATTAATTATTTTTTAATGGAAGAGGATAATTCACGGTCCTTCTTCTCACTGGGACCGCCGAGTGACGAATTAGTGAGTTAAAAAGCACTGCTGATGAAGACACGTGGCAATCAATCAAGTAAATGTCCGGAGATACGTCTTTTTTTCTACCCACCCGATCAGTATTTGATGGGAGACCTTTTTAATGCTATCAAATCAATTTCCCCACTAATTAATTCATCAAATTATATATATATATATATATATATTAAAAAATAAATTTTATTGAACAAATCTTCTATTTACAATCTTTAAGTATATATGAGTTAAGGGATGTTGTACCTTTAATGAAAGGTTAATCCCATCTATTAGGGTTGGCTCAAGTGTTTAATTAAAACAAAATTAATGAGCAATAGTTCTTTTTATAGTTTATTTTAATATAAATATTAAATTTATCTATTTCAAATTTAAAAATTTAAGTTTATCTCGACACTAATAGTAAAATGTATAATTATTATTTTTAATTGAATTATTCGAACTTGTTTAAAATTTGATGTATCATCCTTGTACAATGTAGATATATTATTATTTACTCATAAAGTGAATAAAATTTCAAAAATCTTTGAAGATAAGATTCATTAAGGAATAGAATTCATACCCAAATAATATATTAATATAGACTTAAAATGAAAATATTTTCATATAATT